TGTTGTTGTTGTTGTTAGGTGCCGTTGAGTCAGTTCTAACTCACAGCGACCCTATGTACACAGAATGAAACACTGCCCAGTCTCGCGCCATCCTCACGATTGTTATGCTTGAGGCCATTGTTGCAGCCACTGTGTCAATCCATCTCATTGAGGGTCTTCCTCTTTTTCGCTGACCCTCTATTTACCAAGTATGATGTCCTCCTCCAGGGACCGATCCCTCCTGATAACACGTCCAAAGTATATGAGACGTAGTCTTTCCATCTTTGCTTCTAAGGGAGCATTCTGGTTGTACTTCTTTCAAGAGTTGTTCGTTCTTTTGGCAGTCCATGGTATATTCAGTATTCTTCACCAACACCACAATTTTTTGTTTGTTGTCACACTGAATATGTTGTTATACCTGCTTTTTCACTTAATATGCCTTGGAAATGTTTCCAGGTCAGGAAATACAGATCTTCCTCATTCTTTTTAATTCTTTTCAAAAACAGTATGTAGTATGGATGTGCAGTCATTTAAGATTCCCCGATTGATGTGTAATAAAGTTGTTCTCAAGTTTTCACTTCCACAGTGTGACAGTGAACACCCCCCTTTTTGTGTACATATCCAAATATTTCTCTAAAGCAGATGCCAAGAAGTGGTATTGTTGGGTGAAAAGATGGGCATATTAATCATGGCCTTCCTAAAGAGCTGACCCAGTGTATGCTTCCACCAAAAGAATTGTGAGACCACTTGTTTTCCTACTCTTCCAAGTATTTGATATTGTCTCTTTTGAAAATTTTTGACAGTGTGGTATGTGGAAATTATACTGCATCTTATTATTATTTTATTTTATATTCCTTGATTGCTAGTGAGGTTAAGCCTCTTATTACCAGGATATGTTTTTTTAGCCACTTGAATATCCTTGTCTTTGAGTTAAGCAAATAAACAAGTGTTCATATCTTTTGCTCATTTTTCAGTTGGTTGTCTTTTTTTTTTCTTTGCACTTTACATATGTGGTAATACTTTGAGTGTCATATGTATTACAATTTTTTTCCTCCCAGTTTGCCTTTTGTCTTTTACTTTTGTTTGTGGTACTTTTTTTGTCATATGTTATTTTAAATTTTTATGTAAATAAATCATTTTCTTTGTGATTTTTTTTTTTATTTTGTGGTTTATTTAACTCAAGTTGGAAGAGTAAAGTATAGAAATCAACAGCTAACTCAAGATTATAAGCATATTTTTTTCTAACACTTTTATGGGTTTTTTTTACATTTAGCTCCTCAATCAATATGGAATTCATTTTTGTGAATGACTTGAGAAAATATTTTATTTTTTTCTAAATTCTGTCCCAATACTACTTATTAAATATTCCAGTCCTTCTCCTCTGCTTTGAAATGATATCTTTATCCTGTACTAAATTCTAATATGTATGTGTGTGTGTGTATATATATATATATGAATATTCTGTTCCCCTGAACTATTTATGTTTTCCTACATCAGTACCACGTTGTTTTATTTTCTATAGCTTTATAATATATTTACTGTCTGATAAAGCAAGTATTGTCCTCCTTATTCTCTTTCCATGGGTGGTGCAAACAGTTTACCTGCTTAGCTACTAACCAAAAGGTTAGAGGTTTGAATCCACCCAGGGCACCTTAGAAGAAAGGCCTGATAATCTATTTCCGAAAAATCAACCATTGAAAACCCTTTGATGCACAGTTCTACTCTCAAACACATGGGGTCACCATCAGTTGGAATTGACTCAATGACAACTGGCTTTTTTGGTTCTCTTTCAAAATATTCCTAGTTATTCTTGGGCATTTGCTCTTCCAAAAGCATTTTAGCATCAACTTGCCAAAACCCATTGAAAAATCCCGCTGGAATTATATTGACTATATAGATTAATTTAGGAAAAATTTACGTATTTTTAATATTTAGTCTTATTATATAGGAAGGTAGAGTACCTCTCCATTTTTTTCCAGATTCTCTCTTATAGGGTTTTTTTTTTCCATGTAGGACTTATTTAGCTCTTACTAGATTATTCTTATGTAGTTTATAGTCTCTTACTGATGTAGTAATTGGAATTATTTTTCCTGTTATGTTCTCTAATTTGTTATTGTCGGTGTACAGGAAAATTATTGATTTCTATACGTTACTCTTGCATCTGATTCCCTTGCTGAACCTTCTTATTAATCTTACTATCTTGTCAGTTGAGAATTTACTAGACAATTACATTGCCTGCAAATAATGGCAGTTTTCTCTCTCAATTTTTCACTTAACGGTGTATCATGGACCTCTTTCCATCTCAGGAAAGATTGATCTAATTCTTTTAAATGGCTATGCAGTATTCCTTTATATTATTGTGACTGATGTAATAAATCAGATTGCTAGACATTGCAGGGTTGTTTTTGCTTTTTCTTTTTGAGCTTTTCCCTATAACAAATGATGCTTTAATGAAAATCTTTGTGCATTCTTGTTTTTATGCCTGTTCTGGCATTTCTGTTGAACAAAATGCCTAGAAATATATTTAAAAGTTTTGCAGATACTTCACATTGCCACCCTCCACCCCAAAGATCCACTTCTGAAGCTTATTTCTTTCCCTGACTGCGGCCTCTGCTGTCTCTGACTCTACCAAGGAAAGAGGCAACTTCCATCTCAGCAGCCCCTTTCCTTTGCCTCGGCCTCGTGGTAGGTTGCTCTGACTGGCTTTTCATCATTGCAATCCTACGTGCGTTTTACCTTCTAGACACTTATTCAGAGTTGCTGGGATGTTGATGGACTTCTTGCCCATCTCCAGTGATGTTGTGAAATCTGTGCAGGGTGGAACAGTAATCCTGGTAGTTTAATTTACTCCTTGCGCCAGAACCCTCCTCCGCCCGGGATCCTCCTACCTGAGAAACCTCAAACAGAATAACAGACATAATGATACTTACTAGAAGCAGAAAACATAAGGGTATGCACACCATGATTATAATCACGTAAAATATGCGTCCGTGTACTATTCTAAGACTCTACAGGAAGGGGAACTTTGTAAATGTGATACATTAGAGGGGTGAGTTTCCCCCGTTCATTCGTTACTGTTGCTAAAAATGTCATACAGAAAAAGACAAAAAGTTGACAGATAACTTAAAAATGGTGTTATTTTTCCAAGAGATGTACTTCTTTTACACTAAACATCTTTCCTATTTTGTCCCGATTGGTCACAAATGTATGCTCTTTTTACAGAGGAGAAAATACTGCCCCCGTTGAAGAACAAAGCTGAACCTACAAATCTGGCTTCTGAGTTAAGAGGTAAATAGACGTTTGGAGTCATCTCCTTTTGCTGGCAAACGCAAAGTACCACTGGGGAACCAACCTTGTCTTTGATGGTGCCCACACCCTTTAGAAAAGCACTCCCCTAAGCATGTATGGGAGCCCTGGTGGCACAGTGGTTAAGAGCTACGGCTGCTAAACAAAAGATCAGCAGTTCAAGTCCACCAGCCACTCCTTGGAAACCCTATGGGGCAGGTCTACTCTGTCCTGTAGGGTCACTATGAGTCGTAATTGACTTGACGGCAGTGGGTTTGGTTTTTTTTTTGAGGGTGTATGTGAGAAGGTGATGAAAATGAAGGGTTTCAGGGCATTTCAACAGTGTGTGTGTAGCGGGGAGGAGGAGAAATGGGAACCTCCAAGCTAGAGAAAATGGAATATACTACAGAAAGGTTTTAAACTTTCCTTTAAACTTATGCCTTCTCTTCAGAAAAATGGGTGATTAATCCAGAAGAGCCAAAATTAGAGATTTTATGTCAGCTGGAGGTAAGAAATGTTTATCATATCAATGAGTACACTATTTTCATGATAAAAATAGCTTATTTAATCTTCAATTTTTTCTTTCTTTTTTCTTTTAGTTTAAGGACGACTTCATCAAACTGTTTGAGCCTTCTCTGAGAACATTACCCAGCATTGGGCCACCATCCATTTTGACATACAAACCAGAGATTTCCAATATAAACATTAAATACAAGGTGATTTTAACTCATATCCTTTTTTTATTAGTAGTATACTAAATGCTGTAAAAAGCCACACGATGATTTGCACAGTAAATGGTGAACATACCTGCCTTAGTTATTTAGTGCTGCTATAACAGAAATACCACAAGTGGGTGACTTTAACAAACAGAAATTTATTTTCTCACTGTTTAGGAGGCTAGAAGTCTGAATCCAGGGTGCTGGCTCTAGGGGAAGGCTGTCTTTCTTTGTCAGCTTTGGGGGAAGGTCCTTGTCTCTTCTGAGCGTCTTTCTGCTCCTGGGTGGTCTTCATATGGCTTGGCGTCTCTCTTCCTCCGTCTCTGCTTCCTCTGCTTCCTCACTTGTTCATTTAATCTCTTTCATATCTCAGAAGAGACTGATTTAAGACACATCCCACACTAACACTGTCTCATTAACATAACAAAGAAAACCCATTCCCAGTGGGATTATAACCATAGGTATCCAAAAACTCATTGCCATCAAGTCAGTTCTGACTCATAGTGACCCTATAGGACAGAGTAGAACTTCCCCCATAGGGTTTCCAAGGCTGTAAATCTTTTACAGAAGCAGACTGCTACATCTTTCTCCTGAGGAACAGCTGGTGGGTTCCAGCCGCTGACCTTTCAGTTAGCAGCCAGGCGCTTAACCACTGTGCCACCAGGGCTTCTTACCACAGGTATAGGGGTTAGGGTTTACAACACATATTTTTGGGGGACACAATTCAATCCATAATAATACCTTTAAAAAAAAAATGCAAAGAGTTCATACGCTTGGAGTAGCATTTAGGCAGGGAGGCAGAAAGCCGGGAAGCCTAGGTGAACGCTTGCCGTATTTGATCATGTCCAGCGACCATTAATGCCTGCGCTTGACGGGCAAGGGAAGGGTGGCCTCAGTGATTCCAACAGGTTGGTGCCCCATCCCACTACACCAGAGTGGTGAGGGACTGACTAGGGGGAAGATCATCTCCGAGCTCGGATTGAACGGTGTGGCCACATAGAAGGGCTGTGTGCTCGCCGGATCCGAACGCCCTTGGTTACTTCTTCTGTAGGTTTATTCGCTGAAAACACAGGACATGACCATCCAAGGCGGTGCAGCACGGAGCGTGGGCCGGGCTTGCTGACGCTGCTGTGCGGACGCGCCGACGCTGTGTCTGTGGCTGTTGTGCACAGCACATTGCACGCTGCAGTACTAACCAGGGGCAGCATGCTGAATACATTTGTGAAGTAATATCAGCATTCATGGCCTGCTTCTATTCGCCCAGGCTTCTACACTTTATGGTCACCGTTTATGGTCACCTTCCCTTTCTGAACCACAAAGGTCTATATGAAGGGAAGTTTCTTAAGCCGAGGTGATGGTGTCTTCCCAGAGATGAGCCGGAACATGCGGAAGGCTTCGTGGCCTTTCTTCCAGGGAGTTGTCCTTGCCTTGGTACCTGCACAGGCCTCACTCCTCCTGTTCCTGGGCAGACCTTTCAGGCCCTCTAGACCAGATGTTGACAGGAGTCTAGGTTAGGGGCAGCAGCAGCTGGCTTGCCCAGCTCTCGTCTCTGCAGATGCAGATCCCAAGCCCACGTGTGGGTCTTTGAAGCACCACCACCCTGCTTCACCCCAACCCTTAATGGCATTCAGGGATACTGGGCTGAGGAGTTCACTACAAAATCTCTTGTACGAAGCAGACTGCGGATGACCTGGCCTTGCCAAGCTCTCTCTCTGCCTGCTCTATCATTTGATAGCTGGCCTAGCTGTTTCGCCACCATTTCCTTACAAGGCTTACTCCCCAAGCATCCTGCTTTCAGTGACGCGCAGTACTTTGTGTGGGGTAGTTGCCATGGTCTGAAGCTATTGGGCATCACTCTGAGGTGAAGAATCCTCGGCTGCACTCAGTCCCTTTCTGGCCTCAGCAGGTGGCCATTTTGCCAGTCCCAAACCAAAAAAAAAGAAAAAAAAAAAACCCACTGCTGTCGAGTTGATTCCAACTCAGCAACCCTATAGGACAGAGTAGAACTGCCCTATAGGGTTTCTAAGGACTGTCTGGTGGATTTGAACTACTGACCTTTGGGTTAGCAGCTGAGCTCTTAACCATGTGCCACCAGGGCTCCCTGCCAGTCCCAGAGGGTGGTTTTCACAGCAAATGCGTGAAGTTCCCAGTGGTGTTCATGATTGCAAGGACCTGCATCCCTTCCTGGAGGCCTGTGCTGAGGCTCAGCTGTTCGCTGGCCCAGTGGGCTCTGCAGTCACAGACAGGACCTCAGGTCACCGACGTGGCCACAGTGCATCAAACCTTCATGGAGTCACCTGAGCCCCTAACGCTGTCTCTCCCCTCTGCTTCCCTAGCTTCCCTCTCCTGAATGACCTCCACAGTACAGACGGGAGTTCAGAGCCCCAGCCTGGGTCTCCCCTTGATATAGGACTCTAATTTATTTTAGAAAGTTGATAACTGTAAATGCTAGCCTACACAGTAATGTCACAATTTTTTTCTTTCCTGACACTTCTTGAAAGAAAGAGCTTATGTTATTCAGGCACCTTAGACCATCTCCATAAAATGAGGTGTGCATCACCCCTTGTCTCTCTCATCCAGTTACACACTGTACACACACACACACACACACACACCAGTGACTCTGATGTCAACAGTAAAGTGATTTCTGTAACTGTCTTCATATCTTGGGGAGGCATCCCAAGGACCACCCAGCTCCTGCTGGGCTCAGCTCTGCTCTGGTGAACTGCACCAGACAGAGGCCCTCAAAATGCCGCCTCAGTCTCCCCAGCCCTCGCCACCTGTGAGTAGGAGTGATGTCACTTTAATCCTCCCAGTGCCTTCTGATACAGGATCTCTGCCCCGAAAAGTTTCCCACCACATGTTTCTGGGGGCCCCCCAGGGTGTCTGACAGGAATTCTCAAGCAGGTTTGCAATCCTACCACTGGACATTCGCGGACCCCGCCCAGAGCTCTCTGCGGGCCTCCCTGTCAGCGCGTCTTCCTTTTTCTCCCCTCTCTAAAGGAGGAAGAGGAGGAGCTATTGCCTAAGTGTGAATACTGTGGAAGCGATCTACGAACATTCCTTTCCCGTATGGATTTTTACTCTGACTATGCTAGCATTCAACCAATAAAACGCGTAAGTTCTAAATTAGGTTTACTGAGGAAATATTATTTTTAAGCATGCACACACACACCGTGTCGTATTTTCTCCTGCACCTTAAAGAGTTCTGTGTTAGCCATCAGGGAAATGTAAGCCCAAACCACAGTGCAAGACCACTTCACACCCACTAGGATAGCTGCAACCAAAAAGACAGACAATAACAAGGGTTGGCTAGGATGTGGAAAAAGTGGACCCTCATACACCGCTGAGGGTGAATATAAAATGGTGTGGCCACTTTGGAAGACAGTGTGGGAGTTCCTCCAAAGGTTAAACATAGAGTTAACGTAGAATTCTGCTCCTACATGTATACCCAAGAGAATTGAAAACGTATGTCCATGCACACACCTGCACATGAATGTTCAGGATAGCCAAAAAGTGGGAACAACTCAATGTCCATCAGCTGATAAATGGATAAACAAAATACAGCAAATCCATACACTGGATGTTATTTGGCAATAGAAAGAAATTAAGTACTGAGGTATGCTACAACATCGATGGACCTTGAGAACATTACGCTAAGTTAAAGAAGCCAGTCACAAAGACTATGTGTTGTATAATTCCATTTAGATGAAATGTCCCAAATAGACTAATCCACAGAAACAGAAAGCAGATTAGTGATTGCCAGGGGCTGGAAGGAGGGGGGCAATGGGGAATGCCTGCTAAATTATACAGAATTTCATTTTAGGGTAATGAAAGTCTTCTCAAATTGATTATGGTGATGGTTGCACAACTCTGGAAATATACTAAAAACCATTGAATTGTACACTTTAAATTGGTGAATTGTATGGTATGTGAATTATATCTCAATAAAGTTGTTACCAAAAAAAAAAAAAAGAAGACCTGTGATAGATTGTTATCCAAACTCCATTAACCAATTCTGGTTTTTGTTTTGTTTTGTTCTTTCTTCTCTAATCACCTTCATCTAGGACTAAAAAAAAAAAAAAAAAGACCTCTTTTTGTTTTTCAGGACTCCTGTTGTGTTCATTTCCAAAATCTAGTCGAATATATCTCTGTTGAAGAACAAAAAATCCAAAGCTCTGGTGATGAACTGATCTGCATTAACCCTCACGCAGCCCACGGCAGTGAAGTCGATAGACTCAAAGCAAAGGAAAAAGCCCTGCGGAGGTAACATCAGGCCGTTGCTGTTGAGACTCAGATTGGCCCACTTAACTGGAGAACATTTTGTAAAGTGAACCTTTTTTTCCTACAAAATATATAATTTCGAAGATGTATTCCCAGCGAGGCAAACTTATCCCAATTCCTGGTCAGTGTCATGAGATCCAGAAGGTTTCAGAAATTGGAGACTTGCTGATTTAAAGTAGTGGGAAAGCCAGCTGTACCGTTAAAGGGGACACAGTCCACCACACAAGACCACTTTCACTTCCAACACCCATAGAAAGTTCGAGGGTTCCACAAACCCCCCTTAGATATGATAGTTTGCTAGAAGGACTCATAGAACTCACTGAAAGCAGTCATACTCATGGTTACAGTTTATTACAGGTAAAGGGTACAGGTAAAGTGAGCCATGGGAAGACGCTCAGAGGACAGAGTCCAAGAAGGTACCAAACACAGAGGTTCTGCTGTCCTCCCCTGCTCCACTAGTGAGGGACAGCGTTACTTTTATGATACCAATGTGTGACAATACACATGAGATATTGCCAACCAGGGGACCTCACCTGAGCCTTGGTGTCCAGAGTTTTTATGGGGCTCCATCATGTACGAATGATTGATGGCCCATGTGGATGATGTCAGTCTCCAGCCCATTCAGAGCTCGACTGAGGCCGTGGGACCCAAAACCCCACCCTAAATCAGATTGTGGGTATGGCTCAAAACCTCCCCTCTACATCCCATTGTTAGATTTTCTGGTGTGATCAGCCCCCACCCTAAATGGTTATTTCCCACCCTCAGTCACTGTTAGACTATCCAGCACAACCCAGGGAAGCAAAGATACTCCTATTAGGCATGACATTCCAAAGCTTTAGAAATCACCTCCCAGAAGCTGAGGGCAAAGGTCAAATCCCTATTTTGGCACAGTTAAATTCTTTACCACTCACGTAGAAATTTGTTGTTATTGTTGCTATGTGCCATCTAATCGATTCCGACTCATTTTGTGACCCTATAGACCAGAGTAGAACTGCCCCATAGGGTTTCCAAGGCTGTAATCTTTACGGAAGCAGACTGCCACATCTTTCTCTTGTGGTTGGGCTGGTGGGTTCGAACCGCCAACCTTTGGGTTAGCAGCCAAGTGCTTAACCACTACGCCACCAGAACTCCTTAGTAGAAATTTAGCAATCTCAAATTCTCAGGATAATTTGGAAATCCTATATAGGAGAAATATGTTGACTAAACAGAGTAGAAACCCACATACTCAGATTAAATAGGCTAGATTCATAAATAATAACAGATAAAAATAGTAAGGGGTGGCATTAAAGCAGTTAAAATGTGTAGTATTCTGTTTTAAGTTTCAAACACCTTTCATATTTTTGCAACATTTATTTGGATTTTGTAGAAAACAGGAGCGACAAATGGCCAGACGTCTTGCAGTAGTATCAAATGAAGAGGCTAATTTCTCGGAAGAAGGTGAGTTCACCAACACTGATACTGTACATCAGCTGTGTGATA